TTGTTCTGCCACTCCAAAATAATCTTTGTTCAAAATGCCTACTTGTCTGAGAAGTTATTATAATGAATGCTGGTGACAAAATAGCTCTGTGTATCTCTATACTTAAGAAATTTATTCAAAAAACCCTTAATTCTTAAATGTGGATAGATAGCAAATAATGTATTGATGTTGACTGGATTATGACACTATAATTTTACGATCCATAGAATATAAAAAAGCATATATTTTAAATATTCTATTGGATTTACTGACATATTTGAGATAAAAAATGACATTACTGTTTTGCACAGTTACACGGCCAGTAGTACTTGTTTGCATTTCCAAATCTCACGTTATAGAAGTTGCAAAAGAATGAAACATTTTATAGGTGGCAAATCTGTTCCCTGCTACTTGTAGTCTTGTGGTTGAATGTCACTGGACATAATGCATTTTTACTATGTGTATATTTGTCAATGAATGATTTGTTGAATGATTTCTGCTGAAGTGATAGCTAATACATTAACAAAATGGTTATTGTGAGGCTGAACAAGAAAATGTGTTTGCAAAAGACATTCTTATGTCTTCAAAACCAAATCACAACTGCACTGACTATCTACCTGGCCAATGATGAAGTCACACTATGATGTTGACTGATTTTGTAAGTCTAATAGTAGGAAATAGCATAATTGTAGGATATACTTTCTAAATCTGAAGTAGGAGTCTGTTGTTGCTCCATCCATTACACTTAGAAAGGGTTATCATCAATATTGTACAATGTTGGAAGAACCCACCTTTCTGAACCAGTTCGTTTTGCCATTAGCAACACTAATGACTCAAAAGAACATCCTGTTTCGGGACTCTGCATGCAGAAGAGCACCAATAAAAGCATGGTTGAAACAGGGTTCCACTGAGTAAGTGTTTCTCATTATTTTGTGGTGATATGCAGAGCTTTTCAAAACAAACACACAACAAATGTACTGTATTTTGATCCTACACAGTGCCATATATTCCAATGGACTGCCTGATGAATACTCCTTTCTAACTACTTTTCGGATGACTGGGGCCACACTTCAGAAATACTGGACTATTTGGCAGATTCAGGATTCTTCAGGAAAAGAACAAGTCGGAGTGAATCTTAATGGTCAAATGAAAAGTGTTGAGTTTTCTTATAAAGGAGTGGATGGAAATCTCCAAACTGCATCATTTTTGCATTTGCCTTTCTTGTTCGACTCCCAGTGGCACAAGCTTATGATAAGTGTGGAAGCAAACAGTGTCACACTTTTTATTGACTGTATTAAAATTGAAACTTTAAACATAAAACCGAAAGGGAAAATCAGTGTTGATGGCTTCGCTGTGCTTGGAAAACTTAAAAATAATCCTCAAATTTCAGTTCCGGTAAGTTCCAAAATCTTCTATTACTGCAAAAAAGTGTTTTGTCAGATCTTTATACTTAATCTTTTTTTTGTGGAATGTATCTTCAAATGTTTTCTGAAAGCAGAAAGGGCAGAAAATAACAACTCCTTGGCAGGTAAGTACTACTTTTGCTTTTTTAAATTTTGCATGTATATATACTGTGTAAGGTAAGAGATAACCTAGGTTATGTCTAAGTTTCAATAGTGAAATTTCTCAGACATCCACACTTCTGTCACTGGATTCTGCTCTGTCTGGATGTACCAGTTGGATGATTCTCTGCTTATCTCCCATGTGGACCTTGATCTAGAAGAAAGTCTCAGGACATGGATCTGTGGGCTGTACCTCACACCAAAGAGAGCAAAACATTGATTGAGCAACAACTGGGACCCCTCTCTCATATGCGTGCACCAACCATCAGCTAGAGATAATTGAATCTGTCTCTGGCAGAATAAGTATTTTAAATCATTACTACAAAGGGAATATCTCCTACAAGGGAGATGTTTGATGGAGGTCCTTTTTGATTTACTCTGATGTTCACACAGCAAATAAGAGAGAGAATCACAGAACAGTAGGGGCTGGAAAGGACCTCTGTCCTCTCCTATGAGGACAGGCTGAGAGAGTTGGGATTGTTCAGCCTGAAGAAAAGGCGGCTCTGGGGAGATCTAATTGCGGCTTACCAGTACCTGAAGGGGCCTACAGGAAAGATGGTGAGGGACTGTTTATCAGGGAATGTAGTGACAGGACAAGGGGTAATGGGTTTAAGCTGAAGGAGGGTCGATTTAGATTAGATGTTAGAAAGAAATTCTTTACTGTGAGAGTGGTGAGACACTGGAACAGGTTGCCCAGAGAGGTTGTGGATGCCCCATCCCTGGAAGTGTTCAAGGCCAGGTTGGATGGAGCTTTGGGCAACCTGGTCTAGTGGAGGGTGTCCCTGCCCATGGCAGGGGGGTTGGAACTAGATGATCTTTAAGGTCCCTTCCAACCCAAACCATTCTATGATTCTATTCTATGATTCTATGATCATCTAGTCAACCCTCCCTGCTAAAGCAGGATCACCTAGAGCAGATTGCACAGGATCGCCTCCAGGCAGGTTTTGAATATTTCCAGAGAACGAGACACCACAACCTCTCCGGGCAGCCTGTTCCAGTGCTCTGTCACCCTCAAAGTGAAGAAGTGTTTCCTCATACTGAGATGGAGCTTCCTGTGTTCCATTTTGTGCCTGTTGCCCCTTGTCCTGTCACTGGGCACCATTGAGAAGAGTCCGGCCCCATTATCTTGACATCCACCCTTTAGATATTTATAAGTATTGATCAGATCCCCTCTCAGTCTTCTCTTCTCCAGGCTAAACAGACCCAGCTGTCTCAGCCTTTCCTCATATGAGAGATGCTCCAGTCCCCTGAACATCCTCATAGCCCTCCACTGGATTCTCTCCAGTAGTTCCCTGTCTTTCTTGAACTGAGGGGCCCAGAACTTGACACGTTTAAATCTCAGCACTAAAGCAGAGATTATAATAAGTACATTATACCTCAGGAGACTGTTCTAATCACTGTGCTACCCGGTACGATCATGTTAACAGCCACTTTTCTTCTTTAACTAGCTTGAGTTTTTTGAAAAAGACTGACCTGGAGTAGACAGTGAACTCTTAAAGAAGGTTCTTGTTTATGAATTCTATGAGGGTTAAGTGTGGCATCAGAGACTAGATTCAATTCAAGCAACAGGCCCAGCAGAGATGAGACATAAAGCCCACTCATTTCCACAATACCTTCTCCTGGCTAGCTGAGGACATCTCACCCCCCATACCATGGCTGCTGTGAATCCCTTTGTCAGATATTTAACTTTCCCTGTGCATTATAGTAGACACCTAAATTCACTATGGAGTACTCATTTATTCTGTATAGCAAGACTAGGCAGTGAAATGCTTGTTCTATATCGTTAGTGGATTTAATGCTGAAAATATCCTCTTCATGCTACTATACTGCAAGGAAAGTTGTTTTGATGGAGAAAATAACTTTGAGGGTGACATATGGTAAACATCAAATGATTTTGTGCCCTTCAACAAAGAAAACTGAATCTGAAAAACCTCAGGGATTTTATTATTTGATTATCTGATTTAGTTTCTGAGACAAATGATTAATATAAAACACACACACACACAAAGTGACATGCCTGTAATTTCTGACAGAAAAAAATTTGTAGCTGTCACATCTGCATTTTGCCTTTCAGACATCCATGAAAGTGTTTTCTCAGCTAGTGTTTTTTCAGCTACTGAGTTATACTGCACTTTATGCTGAATAATGTAACAATTTTGTCCCACAATGGCACTAAATGACATTTAAGACTTTGGGAAGGCTATTTCTGAATTCACTTTGTAGATTAAAAGCAAATAGTTTCAATACACAGTTGAAAACATTGCAGAAAACGTTGCAAAGTTTCATATATTATCCTGTTCCTTTTCCAAGGCTCCTCTTTAAGTGTGTTAGGAACATATAATATGAATGGCAACATACCCATACATCTACAGGGTACTCATTTCAAAACAAGTTGAATGGCAAAAGAGAATCAGATACTTAATATATTGTAACAATTTTCCACATCCCTGCACCGAAGTTTTGCATCAATTTTGAAATAAAGTGACATATAATCTTCCAACTATATTTCATTTTATTTGAAAAAAAATGTAGCCACAGGATAATGAGCATTGTATAAACTTGAAAGGGGAAATGTTGCAACAAAAGAAGTATCTCATGCTTCATCACCTCTGTATGTATAGGTTACTATATTGCACTGGATAGAAATCAGTTTTACCTGAAAAATGATGACAGAAAGCTGCCTCAGGTGCCTGAAGGTGGCTATCTAGTATGTTGCTGTAGAGGTGGATTAGGAAATGTCAATAGCCAAAAAGGTATATCCATTCTGTTGAAAACAAAAGTTAGTCTTTGAAAATGTCATTCAAAAGTAACAAGCTGGAGCTGATAATGTAACAATTAGCTGCATACATATCTTAGCTTTCTTAACTGGTTTGAGGGATACTGGTGGATGAATGGGTGGATAGAATTATGAAAAGATTATATATTCTATGCACGTTATTGGGATGAAAAAAATTTTACCCCAATATTGCATTCCTCTTTGGCAAGATTGTTAGATTAAATGCACAGAGTGCTACAGGTATTAATGTAATAGTATCACAACACCTAGTATACAGTGGTACAGTGAACTGTTCCCTCAAGTTAGACACAGAGTCATTCCTTTAAAAACGAGGAGGGTTCCTGTTGCCTGTTGAAGTAAGGATTAGAAATGGCAGCCTACAAACGAGGAGAGAGATGTGGTATTAAGGACATCTTGGTAAGAGCTCGGACTTCTCCCTCTTCTCTGTTGGTGCTCTGGCTGACCTTTGGCTAGGATTAAAGGAGTCAGGAAAAGCAGCAGAGGAAATCTGGAATTGTATCCCCCTTCCTCTCCAGCCCGTGTTTTTCAGACACTTGCTTTTTTCAGCAAGGTGTACAAATGAGGAGCACTGGTTACCCGAGGCTCTTCAGGCATCTGGTCGGGGGGAAGAGCATTAAGTTCTGCCTTACCTATGTTTAAGCACATTAGGCACTAGTGTGAAGCTACGTTAAGTATAGGACACCCTTCTTCAAGGATGAAAGGACAAAATGGAATTAAGTAATTTTTACAATTCACCACTCACTGTGCAAAATATTTGTTTACAGCTTTAGCATGTTTCTGGGGAGATTCAGTCATATTTAGTGTATTTTATGAAAAAAAAATCAAATCTTTGCGTAAGGTAGGCCTTAAAACGGGAATATGATGCACATTTTTTGGCAAAAAGAATAATGAAGCACCAGAACAAATTATCAGGGAAGGAAGAAGGTAAGTATCACATTACATTTTTTTAATTGAGTTTGGATGTCTAAAAATACACTTTAATTCAGACAGAACTCTCGGTTTGACAGAGGACTCACTAGATTGAATTGCATGGCTTCTGCTATGAAGCCAAAACTGACAATCGTAGTGGTCCAAGCTGACATTATGAAAATGTAGATTTAGAAAGACTATATTCTCTGAAATTATGAGAACGAAATGGACTAATAATTTTGAAATGGCTGTTTATATTGCACAAGTTTCTGGTTTAGCCTGTGCATTTAGTTTCTCTTTAAATCAAGTAAATAAATCTACGGTTGAGGATATTCTAGGCTTATCCTGTAACTTGCTTGACTATACTCAATTTAAACATCTCACCAGTTTTGGTTATTTAATATATCCTAGGCATGATTTCTAATTTATTTCCAGGCATTGTTAAAGTATATTACTTCCTTTTAGTCCTTTAAAGGACATAAATTATGTGTTTTCTATTCTTTTTTTTTTGCAGTATTCTGTGAGTGCTCTATTTATCTTGCACAATAGGTCAACTTCTTATAGGTGCACTGTAATACATGTCATTTTAAAAGAGATTCTTTACTGCTAGTTGTTACTATGATTGCCTAGGAGAGTAATAGAGTTCCATTAGAAACTATGGCTTGCCTTTGAGCCTTTACAAAGATTTATTCCACAATTTCTGGAACGTTTTATGGAGGGCAAATTTTTATACAGGTTTACAGCTGCATTTTATCTTTTTTTTTTGATAAAAAAGAAAATAGTTCTTTTTATCTAAAAGTAATTCAAATAATCCACTATAAAATCTAAGCAATACAAGATATATCATAATTTCAAAACTGAAAAGGAACTTACTCTCTAAATCACATTTCTTATAGAAAGGTAAGGGCATTCATTTCTTACTGCTCAAAGATTATACTGCTGTGAGATGATATAAATTGCCTTAGTTTCTGTGATTTCAGCGGCATTACTTTGATTTTCTTATAAAAGACACTAAACACTTTGCTAGAAGTGATCCCTGGTCATTATTTAATTGACATTTAATGCTGCTAACTAGTTCAGAGCAGCTACATGACTTGTAATGTTTAAGAGGAAGCTGCTTATCAATATTTGCTGAACAGGGATTAATTTACACCATAAACCAGATTGTGTCCATGTATTGTAAAAAGTCACGTCTCAGGTTTTTTTCACCCTGTGAAATCTGATTCAGAAGGCTGAACCCTTGCTATGGAAAGTCAAATAACAGCAGAATTTGCTGTACTGTTCTAAGACTTTGAAAGAAGATGCAAGGATAGTGAGGGTCTAAAAAAACCCATTACAGAGATGTACGAAGATGGATAAAACATATTTAAAATAGCTCTATAATGAGATCTGTTTAAATATGTGTAGCTTATTCTTGGTTACTTAATAAATGTACAAACAGTTGATAGCAAACTTCCCTTAGAACAAACATAGATATAATCGATGAAAAACTGTAGAAAACTTTCACCTGAAAATTGCTTAGCTGAGTTGTAGTTCCCCTGAAGGGATGTCTTCCCCTGAATCATCCCCGAGGCAACAATAGTCCAGTGGGGCACAGGGAGCCAGTTCTCCCAGAAGGGACGTACAAATGTGTTCTGAGAGTCATAGTTTTCCTTAAAGCCTTTGGTAATGATAAATGCTTCCCTGTGACTGATGCCATACTGAAAATACTACTACTAGTATTAAGTCTCATTTACATCTTACTCAACCTTCACCCCTCTCATCTAAAGCACTAATAAGAATACTAAATCGCATAGCTGATATTGAGATATGCAAAGCTGTGGGCATTTACAGGCATTTCCATAGAATTTAAGAGGACAGAACAGTGAATAGACATAGCTAATCCAATTATACCTGTGCTGACTAAGAAATTAAGATGAAACTGAAATCCTGTAGGAATCTCGGACAATAGATTTCAGAAATATTGACCTATGGGTCTTTAACACCTATGGGTCTTCAAAGATTACATTTTAATAAGTTTGCTTTATGACTATCCCTGACTTATCTGAGGTTCATTTCTGAGAACTTTGTGCCTGTACTTCATCCTTAATGACACCTTGCATTGATATCGATAGAACGTCTACATAAGACATCTTGAAAATAGTGGTGTCCTGTAAATCAGCTTAACATAATTAACAAGACCACTGTGAAATACTGTCAAGGGAAAAGGTACCTTTGACAGCAAGGCTAGGACATATTTGCCCTTCTCTCACCTCTCCTAAATCGATGGGAAGCCAGTAACACCTTTTACTACCTTGCCAACAAAAGAGTTTTATTTTTCATTTTAAAAAAGTCAGATAGGTTTCATGTCAGTTTTTGCTTTATATAGCCTCAAAACAGTAACAAAAGCTCTAAGTAAAAAATTTACAAAGCAGCCACGGTTTATTTTTTAAAAAAATAATGCCGCCTGACTAAGCAACTGTGAACTAAGAAATGTCAAATTAAAGCTGCATGTTCAAAATATTTCAATTCCTTTTACATTCACATTATGGCACACTGTTTGTAAATAATGCTAGGTACTTTTTTGCATATGATGCCTGCCTTATTTACTGAGATTTTTTTTTTTTAATGTCTTAAACTTGTGAGAGTACCAGGCCTTACTTAATGCTCACCACTCAAATCCCATCTTGAACAAAACAAAGTGACTGGTTGGCCATTCGAGAGTATTGGAAGAAAACATATGAGACACTAAAAGGATTTCCTGGCTCAGTGAGTCAAGTTCCCACTGCAGCAAGCAATCACATCTTATAAACTCATTAACAAATTTATCTCTATTTTAATATTGATGGTGTTTAAAGTTGAAAAAACAGGTTTTTCATGTATATGCATTTGCTAGTAGTATTCTCTTAAGACACAGATATTGGCGCTTGGACAGTCACTCATCAAAGTCTAACACAACCCAGTAATTAGCATTTTATCATCTCAAATCTTTTTCACCTTAGTACAGAAGTAAAAAACCAGACACACACACAAAAGAAAAAAAAAGAGGCAATGATTATCGACATAAAACCCCCAGAATGTGCTGATGCAGATATTGGCTGCTGGTGTTGTGTCTTAAAAGTAATTTTTTCAGTGTTTACAGATTTTGTACCATGTTATAAGTTAAAAGCACAGCTCAGGACTATTGATTTCAGTTACAGTTGTTACTGATCAGCCTTTTTGCATACCCGGTACCCAGATACTTCATTTCAGGCATCCAATTCCCTCCTCCCACCCCATGCAGAATGTTCTCTAATGTGGCTATTTTGCTTTAATTAATTTGTCACCACTATATAAGAATTATGAAGCAAAATCAGGCTCATTCAGTGGCATCTGTCTGCCTTTTCCACAAAGCCATCCTTTCTTTTTTTACCACCTTTCACCTCATTTACTTCCAAACTTACAGTTTCTGCAGTATGGGAACCACTTCCACAGCCTTGCTCATTCAATCTTGTGAATGAGGGAGGTGTTCTAAAGAAAGAAGTGTGGAATTACACACTTTCAGATTACATACAAATTAAGTTTGTACAGGCAACCTTAATTATGGTATTTCCTAATTACAGAATGGATGACTTGTCAATTTTAATATTAGTTAATATGATTTTAATTTAAACAGAAAAACAAAACTTAGAAATTCTGTCACTTAAAACCATGCCTATCTTAATTTAAATCACAAAGAGATTGTTATTTAAATCAGAAATAGATGATAAACTGCTTTAGAGCCAGTTATGGAAAAAAAACCCTCTGCAAGTGAGCTTCAGAATAATGTAGACTCAGGACTCAGAATCTAGTTGTATGGTATGAAATAAATTATCATATAGGTATCATTTGATCCCCTTTTTATGAATCCTCATCTTCAGATACGAGATACCCTCCTATTTTTATTATTGTATGGCTGCCTTGTAGTATAAAATTATAGTATACATTCAGTTTCTTTATATGTATATTATGACATTCAGTTGTCTATTACTAAGGACTGGGAAAGGTTTAAAAATGAGAATTGGATAAAGGAGGTAAAGAATTGACTCACTGATAGTGGTGTCAGATAACAGGTGAAAGAAACAAGGGTACTGCCTCTTTTGTGCTCCAGTCTCAGCACTCTGGAAACTCTGAGGACTGCAAAGTAAACAGAACAGTAGAGATGTGATAGCAAGGATTTCAGGAGTGGTAGCACTGAAGTGGTGAAGGTGAAAGCAAAAAAAACCAAAAAACCAAACAAGCACCTTGTTGATATGTAGGTGTCTTGCAGAGATCTAAAGGACTTCAGACTCAAAGCATTTCTTAGCTCTAGCAGTCAGTATACAATTAAGTGAATGTAAGGATGGTGGCAAGAGAAGAAAACATCTCAGAATGACAGTCCACCTTCTCTATCAGTTATGGATTGGGACTGAAGAGAGCAATGAGATATCCCAGAGGGAGCACAGAAGGCAGCCAGGAAGCACCAAGACATTATGTTGTGGGAGGGATGGTGGGCAGATACTTTAACTCAATACAATAAGAAGAAAGACTCAGAGTAATAAAGAAATACGAAGTGAAAGCCCCTGGACACTCACTTCTATTTTCAGCTTCTCAGAAAAAACAAATCAGAGTCTTTTCCATACCAGGCCTCTGTGTTGTAACAAGAAAAAAACCCCCAAAACTTTATTTTCCCCCTAACTCCTCAGCCATCCATAATGAAAAGAAAGGAGTAGGAGCCTCTGAATTTTATCATCGAACTGGGAAATCTCTGGATAAACCACTCATTAGTGATTCCTAAGCCAAGATGATACTATGTGTGATGGGAAGAGAAAACAACCCAAGACTTTAAAACTTAGATACAATAAATATGTACAATTTAATATGCTTCTGGTACTTAAAATTCCATGTGATGCATTATATATCAACAGATATACATCTGAAGCTGTATGTTTGAGCTATTCAGTAACTTTCAGCAGAGGGTATGTTTTTTAATCTATATAGCACATCAAGCGAGTCTTGGTTGCAGTTTCTGAAAGAGGTTTGTCTTACTCCTGTGATATTTTCCAGTGTCAAATACAAGTGTTCAAAGAAGATGTGAAATTCCACTGATGTGTATTACCCAGTTGCAGACTGTTGCCAGTGTGCATATGATCCTGCTTTTTGAGCTTCTCACACTTAGATCGCGTTTCTGTCCTCACACCCACCATTCTTCATGCACACAACTATCCACTCAGAGAAAATCTTTTTGTCTGTCCTTTAATAAAACCACCACATAGCATGAGGAAAAATGCCTGTGCTTATAAAGAACATGTAAAAAACGAGACATGATGAATCTCTCCTTCTCTTTAAATCCCTCAGTAGGTTTATGTCCCCTCTTTAAAAGATCTCCGCAGTTGGGGAAGCACAGGGTAGAGGTCTGCTCTGGACTGGGCTCTCCGATACACCCATAGCTATTATTAAATACCTACCTTTTAAAACATGCCATTAGCTGACCGGTGTTCCTCCTATTACACCCTAAGCCAGTATGAAACCCCTGACCCGAATTAACGTCATCTTTATCTCCTTTGCCAGTTCGAAATCCAGTGGATGGTGATTCACTGCGACCCCCTGCGACCCCAGCGCGAAGGCTGCGGCGAGCT